ACACACACACACACACACACACACACACACACACACATATATATATATATATATATATATATATATATATATATATATATATATATACTTTTGCATAGTACATTTTGTATTCAAGTGCGTCATCGAATAGGGCAACGTTCAATCCAGCGTATCTTGGGAACCATTTTGTATTCAAGTTCGTTATCGAATATGGCAGCTTCCAATCCAGCGTATCTTTGGAACTACCGTCCGAGAAGAGCTGCACTCACTTAGGTGTAGACTCGGGCTTTTGTGATAAAATCGCGTAGCGTGCCACGATGGGCTTTATAGAACTTCATAACAAATATTAAAGATACGTAGCCAATGCGCATATAGAGCAAAAATCCAATGTAATACCTAAACAGAATAAGCCAAGATTTCCAGTGTCGTCGACTTCATTGTGTGTATGCGAGGAGAAACGTTTGTGGAGTTGTAAGTAAAGTTGTCAATCAATACCAAGTTGACATAGTATGTGTACGGTTTACAGGTGCTTGTCCTACAAGCAGAGCAAGAACAGATCAAGTGCTAACCTTCACAATTTTACGAGTCGAAACCTTTACTACCACAGTTCAGTCTTGACTGAAACTCCAAATACAAGCTATGTATAGGTTGCACACTGGGTGTTGGCAGAGACCTTTCAGAGTTTATTCATAGCTACCTCAACATTCAGGCGCTTTTAGCGAGTCAGAGATCGATGTATCTGCATATACGGCTCGTTGTTTACACTGGCATTTATGTGTGTCCATCCAACTGCCGATGCTACTCGACGATAGTTGTAGATTTCAGATCACATGCACATATTCATCCTTCAAAAAAAAAATATCAATTATGTGAGGATGTAGTGCTAATGTTCGGAGCCCAACGACTTTGTCACCCAGAAAACTATATAGCTATTAGAGGGTGGAATCTATTCCTGATTCGAATACATCCCGGTCGGACTCCCGTACATACTGCCTCGACCACTCTTCTTCTGCAAAAAACAAAGAAACATCGTGATGAGAAAGAAAAGGACACAAAAAAAAAGCTCATACCGATATATCTATATATATAGATATATGAACAGACCATATATATATATAAATATTTACATACATACGTACATACATATATATATATATACATACATACATACATATTTACATACATATTTACATATATATATATATATATACATACCTACATACCTACATACATACATACACACACACACACACACATATATATATATAAATATATATATATAACTTATATACCTGTGTATGTGTACGTGTATGTGTATGTGAGTATAGCACGTATGATAGCACATACCTTTGTGTTAGAGTTCATCGTTCGGGCTATTGAGGCATTCGTCGGCTTCAGGTAGTTTGCCATTGATACTGGCCTTGTTTTTGTGCTGGATCCCGGCGTGTTATGACTTGTTTTCCGTTCAAACGCGAGCTACAACGATTCAGTGTAAAAAGACAAACAATCTTTATAGGAACGTGTACTTTTCACCATCAAATTCAGACTAAAACAATTTGACTATTTCTTGAAGCTTGATCTGTATTAACGTCTATTCACTCTGGTCGTCTCTGCCTGATCAGACACAAGAGGCAAAACTTAAAATATACAGTCTATCGCGCAAAAGCAAAATCTCGGACATTGTTGACGAAATCTCTAAAAAAGGTTATCCAGCATGACAAATGAATCATAAAACATAGCACATTCCGATATAAGTATTATCTCGACGAAGGCGTAACTCAGTAGACTTGGGCATAACCTATATACCGACTGACAACATCGTCCATGCCCTAACCAGCATGAATACCAACCCGTCACTACCCCTAGTGTCCTTCTATCACATTCGGATGGGATAGAAATATTTAAATGTACACCTGCATATGTATGATTCCACAAACCCGCACATACCGAGTTTGGTGTTCTGTTGCCTCGCCTTGCCTGATCCTGCTTTGTGATAGAGTATCTACGATTGCCCGAGCCCAGTGAGTCTGTACCCGCACTTGTGGTAGACACCCCAAACGGCGACAACGAATGTTCGGAGGTATCGCCCACATTCACGGTCGAAAAAGAATCCTTGCCTGTCTTAGTTGGGCTATTACTCCGTCCCCTATACATATCTGCATTCTGAGTGGCTGCTGAGCCTATACTCCTGCTACTGTCATGGCTAAGCGTTTTGCTCATATCTGTGGCCGGTCCGTTCGAATAGATTATACTTCGGCCGAATGCTAAATTGGATTGACTTGGCTGTGGCTTAGGTGGCGAGTGCTTGAACGGCGGCGACGGTCGGTGATGCGTGTCGAATGTCACCTTCTTCTTGTTCTTCATACATCAAGTTATAAACACAAATGGAATACAGCGTACCGATGAGCAGCAGAAAAATTCCATTCAGTTGGAATATTCCTACTATA